CAGGCACCGAACACGACGGAACCCGCCGATGCACGTCAACGGCTGGCACAGGATTTAGAGGCGAACGCGCAGATTGCTGACAAGGCGCGATGTCGTCTGGAAGGGAGCGAAGTTACCATTTTGGTAACCCGTGAACAGGCGATGCACATGCGCAGATCAACGCGTAACTTTATATCCGACCGGTGGCTACCATACGTGGACGAGCAGGTGAAGAAGTGGTTGGCGGATTTGGTGATCACGAAACGGACGACACCGACGACTGTTAACCTCCCGCTCCTTGCGGTCTCGACGTTTGGTGCAGAAGAGAACGTGAAGAAGGTACGCGTATGTTTAGATATGCGTGCTGTCAACGCGCTTATTCTGGGCAACCAGTTCTTGATTCCCAAGGTCAACGAACTTATCTCTCGCCTCAAGAGTAAGAAGTACTACACTACGCTGGATATATCGGCGGCATATAATAGGCTACCGATCCATCCCGATTCACAATACCTGTTTAGCTTTACACACGAGCGTTATCAGTACTCGTTTACATCGGAACCTTGAGCACAATACTGGACTACTTGCCGGTCCACCACTATATCGACGATATAGTTATTGCCAGCGACGACTATGACGAACATATTCGAACGGTGAAGAAGGTGATTCAACGTTTAAGATACCACAGTTTTAAGCTCAACCCCGCCAAGTGTCACTTTGCTATTCCCGAAGTGATGATCTTAGAGAAGAAGGTGTCGGCACAATGCATAGATATTGATCATGAGAAGCAGACCAAGCTTATCGACTGGCCTACCCCACTACGGTACAAAGACATAGCCTCTGCCTTTGGATTAGCAAATTATCTTCATGAACATCTCCCCAACTTTGCGAACACGGTTGCACCTTTGCGCGAGTTATGCAAACTCAAACCGAAGGAGTTGATCGGCGATCGTTGGGAGAAAAGACATGCACAGGCGTGGCAGGCAATGAAGGATGCAGTTGTCAATGCAGTGGCGTTGCACTTTCCGGTCGACGGTATACCATTGAACTTGGAAACCGACGCTAGCGATTACGGTTTGGGGGGAGCGTTATTCCAATGGGTCGACGGGAAGAAACATTATTTAATGTTCTTTAGCAAGACTCTGAACCATGCGCAACAGAACTACGCTACACCAATGAAGGAGTTACTAGCCTTGGTGTACGGGCTGACACATTTTAGGGAACATTTGGATGGGCAACGGTTTACCGTCTTTACGGACCACAAGGCCCTGGTGTATATGAATACACGGCTCAAGCTTAATCTGATGCTCGAGAGATGGCACCATATTATAGCACCGTTCTACTCTACCATATCACATATACCAGGAGTTCCGGACATGTTGAGCAGAGTACATGAGGGGACAGCGGAGCATGACGAACCTGTGATACTGTACACAGACTGTTGACAGTTATTCCCTAGTTACTTTGAACAAGCGCAACAACACTTCGGTCTGAACAATATAGATGTATTTGCGGACCCGTCTAACGTTCAGCTTCGTCGATTTCGGACTAAAGACAATGGGGAAGGGGCGTTTGCCCACGACTGGTCGACAGTCGATGGATGGATGAACCCACCATGAGAGAAGATACATAGAATGTTACGCAAGATATGGACCGATGGTGCGAGGGCAACGGTGTGTCTGCCATGGGTACCAAGGGCACCATGGTTTGACCTGTTCAAACAGTTGTTGCAATCACAACCAGTACTGGTCCCACGAACGCCACACACGTTCCTCAAGTACGCTAAGTATGCCTGTGGCAAGACGCCATGGGGATACACAGTGATTGCACGAGTGGGACCCCCTAACGGGTTCAAACTGGACCCACTGTTTTCCCAGCGACTTGGGTATGCAGAACCAAAACACACGGCGTACGTAATGTGTTTAGATACCGCGCGAGAGATCTCGGTGGCAATGGCGGATCCAGAAGGTCAACCGGCATTTGAGCGGGCGACGCCAGAAGAACAACAACGCCGTACGCGACTCACACAAGCGCACCACGAACAAGAACATCATGGTGCGGCTGATACAGTTTGGCAACTCCGTCAGAATGGTCATGTGTGGCCGGGCGCACTTGAGTTGGCAACGGAAGGTAAACGGCAGTGCGCTACATGGTTGGGACAGGATACGCTTCGTATGTTTCCACCCGATGATTAGCATTGACGCGCGCTACCCGTGGGACCATATTCAAGTCGACTATATCCCGATGTCACTTGAGTCCAGATGAAAGAACAATTATTTACTTCACGTCCTGGACAATGATACAGGCTACTCAATCCTTCGAGCGACACCGGACAAGACGAAGGAGACGACGGCACAAGCCTCGCAGACACGGACACGTAAACGCCAACGTGCCCAAATCCAAATTTTTATCTTCAGATATGCCTACTCGGTAGGACGGTGCGCTCGAACCGTAATCGTCGAGCCCTCTAGCTCTCAGAGGTTAAATGCCAGCACACTGCTCTAGCTCCCAGAAGATAACTGCCAGCACATTGCTCTAGCTCTCAGAGGATAAATGCCAGCAACTAAGTTATTTGGGTATTCCTCACTATCTCTAAAACTGGCACACTGCTTTTCGGTCAGTGCTTCAGTTTGGGGGGGGGTTGTGGTCAGAATACAAGTACTTAGGTTTTAGTTGTTTATTTTAGTTATTATAGTTTTTTACAGTTTATCAAAATAATTTGATAAACTTGGTATTTGCTGACTATTATAGCACATGACTTATGACTCACTTTTAGAGTCACTAATTTTACAATTACTATTGAATGAACAACGTCTCCCTCTCTACGGAGAGTGAACGTTGCGATACAATTATTGAAGCGCTCGTTTACCACATTAGAACAGACAGGGGAACCAACGTTACTGTGCGCAATTTTGATATTCAATTGGTTGAATTTTGACCATCGTTTAAGCGGGCTTGTAAGGTGGTCTCACAAAGAGAGACTAAATTGTCGTGCACAATTGAACGCGGAGAAGGAAGATGAAGATTTATGACAGCACTCGTAACGATTTTAAGATTGAAAGGGAATACAAATGGCCAAGTAGCAAATTACTTTCGCATATTGATCCGTCAGATGATATATTTTCTATTTCTCGTGAAACTGCAATCGCTGAAACTAATCATGAATATATTTACAGCTTATGGTATGTATTTGGCTACGCAAACATCGCTTACTGCATCGTCTTCTACAACTGCACGTGGAACTGCAATCCCTGAAACTATTCCTGAAATTGTTGACACGCAGGATCCAGCTAATGATATTTATATGCCTAAGGTCACAACATTTACTGTTCCGTGCTCTACCCAGTTGTAAAGTATTCAGCCCTTTCCATAAGAAAGAGTACGTTAATTGTGTGCAGGATCAGCCTTTGTCGTACATTAGTCTCAATGACCCTGCAGACTTGTATTACAGAATCAATGATCTCAATATTATTAACAAACATGAACCTGTGATCAGTTCTACACGGAAACGTGCGTTCGACGCCCCAAGCGCGCAATTCAAATGCAAAATAACCAATAGATAATTAATTTACATCTATTAAACCATGCACGAAACCGAATCAGAACAGTACTCAACTCTCTTCCCCCGTATTTCTTAAAAATATACACGAGGTTAATCCATACAAGGACAGGGAACCTCAATCGCTTGGAACACACGGGAATTTACAATATGATGCAGACAACCCAATCGAATTTCGCATAGATTCGGACAATGCAGAACATTTGACACAGATTTATAAACATAGTTTTACTTGCGCCAAAGGTAAATCTGGGAAAATAGGTTGCCAAATGGCAAAACCATCTCCAATGCAACCAA